CACTTGCTATTGCAGAGATCTCTAGCTTCCAAGTAGGAGAACTATGGTTCTCCTCAACCTCAGAGAAACAAGACTGTCAAAGGAGAAACAGGCTCCTTTGACATTGAGCAGACTTTGAATGCCATTCCATGTTTCTGAGATTATAGATCAGTGATCTTCTAATTTTCTGAATTTACGCTTGACACAGCCTGTAGTATGCCCTATGAGAGAAGGGCAGGCAGGGTTACCTGTTGCTCTCTGTTCCCTGCCATTTTGCAGGACCAGGCAGTCTGTGGCTGAGGACAGCACAGCTGGGAGACTTGACACCTGATCAGGCCTCTGGTCCTTGGAGCAGGTCCCTTGTAAATGCTGGAGATGGATCACAAATGTGTTAAAGCAATGACAAACAAGCTTGGAGGAAGGAAGCTGACTCCAGCAGTATTCCCTTTGCTCTGATTACTGTTATTTTTAAAGCACTTTTAATTAGAAGCATGTGTGACAAAGAAGCCAGATATAACCCAAAACCACAAAAAGCAGCCCAAACCCCATAAAATGCCCAAACCCAATCTGTGGTTCTGCTCCTCTGTCCCTGTTAGCAGAGGCAGCGTAACCCCCAGTTCTCCTTTGTGTAACCCCATTTGTTTTAAGCCGTGGTCACAATGTGGAAGTCTGAGCTGATTGGAATCGAAGCCTGATTAAGCCCGAGCATTGTGTGCAGCCTGGACTCCCCCACATGCACCTTCAGGTGCTGTTTTTCTCTCTCCCAAGGTGGCTGGCAGCGTTCGTATTTTCTGGCGGCGTTCAGCCGTGGCAGTAATGACACCCTGCCTACACCAGGGACTTCCTAAAGGAAGCACAAAGGCCAAGAGCAGCCTGTGGTGCTGTACAGCACAACTCGTGGTCACACTCCAGCACTCTGTGCGTGTAGGAGATTAGTAGTGCTGCTGGTAGGGACTAATAATTCTTATAGGTGAGAGCCTTGAGTTTACTGTTGCTCTCTAGGGCATTGTTTTATACTTTCATTGCTGTTATAGAATTGACTGCATAAACACAACCAAATAGAAAACATGATTTGGTATTATTTTTGTTTGTATGTGTTTATAAGTGCAAATTTGTGTTGCTGTTGGTTCAGGCTGTAGGTCTCCAAGAAAGTTTTCACTGTGATCCCTTTGTGCTGCAAATCTGGGATACTAGATTTTGCATTTGTCTGGAGTAAGGAGCAATATCCAGAAAGCAATTTACTGGTCTCAGAGTAGTATAGGTGTGGGTTTAGGGGAACTCCATGGGAGATACTAATTCATGGAGGAGCTACAGGTGAAAAGAACTGCAAGAATTGATGTTGCCTTCTTGTGGTGCTACAGAGTTGTTGTAGACAAAAAAAATGGTAGAATACCGCAGCCAATAAATTGTCGGACTGAAGACTATGGTAAGACTTGCTAAATTATTCAGTACGTTTTCCTGATAAAGCAGTGTTGTTTCTGAAACACTTTCATTTCTACTCTCCAATCCAGACTAATTTTGATGTCCACTATTTCCTAATGGTAATTATTTGCAGCCTGCCACAGTCTCTCCAGGAAAAGAAAAGTACTTTTGTGGTCAATGTATAAGACTGGACTCAAGAGATTTAATTTTTATTTCCTGAGTCTGCATTAGGCTTTGTGACATGGCACAGAAACTTGCTTCTGACCAGGAAACTGGAAGTTCCTTTGGCTCTTTCTCACCTAGATTTCAAATTTGTTTAGTCAGGACCTGTCTCTTCCTTTTAGATTTAGTTGATTTTTTTTTCTATTTTTTTCTATTTTTTTTCTATTTCTTTTTCATTTGGAAATGAAGTATGTTAACAAAATATCTTATTTTGCAGAAAAGTGTAATACTTGAGAGGCCTCTTAAAGCAAAAATTATTTTATTATAATCAGTCCTCAATGGTAGTAATTCTCTGCTTGCAAAGCAGACAACACTAGTTTCCTAAAAATATTAAGGAAAATAATCTTATGTACTTCCAGCTCAGATCTTGCAACTGGTTCTACAGTTTAAAAGTGCAAGCCTGGTATCATTAGCCTAGCAGTGCTGACGCTGACCACTGTGAACTTGATTCTGCAGGCTGCAAAGACTTTCTGTATGGCAGGAATTCCATTTTCACAGTGCCAGATTTTCTCCCTGAGCTGCTTATTTCTTTTCCTGCATGCTTGTTTTTGAATGTTATTCTGTGGTTAGAAACTACCAAGTGTTATGATCAGATTGTAGAGTAAAGCCCATCTCCAACTTCATGGGAGTGTAGGTTTAATGGAAGATTAACATGGGAGTCATTTGTTGAGGTAAAATAGAAAGGGTAGTTGGATATTAAAAAGGCCTTCTCTTGTTTTAAAGAAAAACATGAATAAAGGCATATGTGCTCCAGTTGAATTGGTTTAACATTGTACATGTGGAGGTCTGTTAAATGCTGTAGCTTAAAATTGCCGGATTGTTTGATACTGCTATCATCTTTCAACTTGAACCCTGGATGTGTATACACTAGCGTATGTTACTGTAGTATTACAGTAGTTAGTGCTGAACCAACAATATGTTGTACTGATGTTTTCAAAAGAGTTTATACATCTACTGTCAGTAGCTTTAGAAGAGAGATGCATTGTTTTAAAAGGAAGAAAAAACAATTTCTCAAGACATGGCTACAAATCAACTATTTGTTTTATTGGGCTGGGTAGTAATGGATAAGTTGTGCCTCTGAGAAACATATTAATAACTCTTTGGCACAGAAAACCTGGAAAGTAGCAAAGATAAAATTTGTCTGCTTACCTGAAAAGGGTTTGTTTTTTTTTTTTTTGTTCTCTTTCTATCTGGTAAGCTCATAAATGAGCAGAAGTAGTGAAGTTGTCTCAGAACACTAGAAGTGTTTGTTATCTACCAGTTATGATACAAATAAATTAACATGAGGCATGTTGTTTGCAATGTTTCCTTTGAAGTAGTAAATAAAGGGGAATGACTAGGATATCCAGATTCCTCCCAGGAAAGAGGACATGGGCCACTTTTAAAACAAAAGCTGCTATTGGTTATGTGGGATCAATGCTCCTGGGACATCATTCCATACTCCTCAAAATACTTTACCATGAAATGCAGTAGGTGAAAACCTTGTGGGCAAATATTGATATGGCCAGCCAGTTCTTGGGAGACAGTGTTCAAATGCTGTATCCCAAAAATACGACTAATGTTGTGCTGACAGGAACACAGAAATGTACAGAATAGGAACCACAATAAAATAGAGTCACATTTATAACCTGAGACATAATCTGATAGATTGTGAAAGAGCAAATGCTTTTGAGAGTTATTGAAGGAGAACATTATTAGCTTACATTTCCACACACCCCCCCCTTGAAGTCGGTACCATTAGGCCAACACTGGGAATTCATATAAATCACTTTTTTCAAATTTGATATAGAATATTAGCTTTCATTGAGATCTGATATGTTCGTTGTCTTCAGTTCGTATTGTCAACACTTGCGAGTGTGGGTTGGCGCTGGCACTGCCTGCTGTCAGCAGCCCCAATTCATTCCCTCCTGCAGTTTTCTCTCTTCAGTCTGGGATGTCGAAAACACTTTATTGATTGTGCATTGGGAAACTTAATCTGGTTGAATGGATACGGTCCTATTGCAGAACAACATGCAGTTGAAGGGGAGAGTAGCTAAGCTGATGCTAGTAGAGAAAGATGTAAAAAGACCAGAAGCAAAGACTTGCCGTTTAAATAGGACCAGGTTTCTTAAGTCTTATGGGAGCATCAGAGAAAAACTACTGAGGAAAACAGTGGACTGTCCATTTCTTCACACTTTCAAATGAGACAGAATGCCTTTTAGAAGCGATGTGGCCACATACAACTTGGTAACCTCAATATTTGGATAAGAGGGTAAAATCTAGTGGAGTGTAACATGCGGGAAGTGGGATGAGCTGCTGAGCCTTTATGGCCTTTTGGTCTGCATTCCTTAAAGTAAATCCATTGTCCCTCTTGGCAATGGTCTTTGTGGTTCAATGTCCTTTTGCAAAGAACAGTTTCACAAATTTGCAAGAAATAAAGCTTAAAAATGGATGCATAAGAGGGGTTTCTAGCAATTCTTTATTACGAACCTCTAAAATGCATAAAATATCTGAGTTGTACATATGCAAGCAGAAGGAAAAGACCGAACCACACTAAGTCAGGTAGTGTATACGGCTATGAAACTGTATTCAGATAGGATCTAATCTGGTGCCCTTTGTAGTCATCAGGAATCCTACAGTTGATTCTTGGACACGAAGGTTCACCGAATGTAGTCTATTTTGTAAAGAGCATGGAGGCCTTTTCAGTGTTTTTAAAATCACTCTGACAACACAGTAACTGTAGATTTTCATGTCTCTCTCACGGTGTCTTTCATGAAAACTGAACCAGAAACTTAATCCCTTTGAATTGGCTATGTGAACAGAAAAGCCTCTGCAGTGCGGAGTGGTGTGCTCTGAGCACGCAGGCTTTCTGAAGCTCCTCCTTCACGCAGTGGGAGCAGGAAATTCCTGGATTTTTTGCAGGGGTTCCGATGAAGTCTCTGTATGCTCAACACTCAATATTCTGTGTGTGCTGAAGCATTGCTAGTCGCATAATGTCACTGGTTGTTATTGTCATTCCTTCTCTTTTTCCATTCTCTTCATTCATCCCTTGCCGAGTGAAGCAAGAAAATAGACTTATAAAAGTTGAAAAGGGGTCATAATACCTAAATTCTGGGAAATGCATGTCAGAATTAATAATTCCTTATTTTTGTGAGACAGTGAGTCCCACAAATCTTTAAAAGAGTGTGTGAGCTGGAGCGTACACACCCTTTTTTCCCCCCAGCATGGTAGATTGGTTGAATCTGAAGATTTCATCCAACCTCTTAGTAATGTTTTATTCTGAATTACAAATTGCAAGCTTAATGTTTCTAAATTGCAGATTTCCCATCTTTTCATCTATCTTTATTTAAGAATTTGAGCCTTATATTTTTTTTGTCTGTTCTTGGTGGCTGTTTCAGGTAATGGGAAACGTGTGCAGTGGCTACGTGGGAAGGATGGTGAGGTCTGGGTCTGGGTTATGGGAGAAGCCCCAGGCGACAAGCCCTATGAACAGATATCAGAGGAGCTAATAGCAGAGCGAGCCAGGCAACAAGCACAGAAGGAGGCAGAAGAACTATGGTGAGGATTTAAGAATCTGAATTCAGGGTCCACTTGGCATAATGGGAGACATGGCCTTGTAGAAAGGTGGCAGGTAATGGTGGGTAAAACTGGTAAGTATGTTTTGTGAACATTTGCTTTCACGTGTTCTGGCTATTTTTCAGCACATGAAAAATGTAATTTTATTTTTATTGAATACTGAAAAACAAAAACCCTTTTCCATTAAAAAGTGAAGCAAACATTTTTCTTTTGGGAAATTCTGGTAAACGATTGACCAGTTTGTAATAACCAAATATGAAACAATCTGGTTTTGAGATTATTAAATTAGAAATGTTTGTTGTATCACATATCTGTGCTCACAATGGGGATTTGGTACATAAAACCCTTTTTAAAATTGATTTTATTTGCATATTGCTGGTACTAACTCTTAGCCCAGCAGTTCAGAAACTGATTACATAAAGTGCCATGCTGGTGTTTCCAACAGGGCCTCTTCCAGCCTTGGGAGAGATTCAAAAGTGTTTTCATACTGTTGGGAAGTAGGCCACCCACCTCCTGCACTTCCTTTTGTAGTGCAGTACTAAAAAGTGACAGTTTAAATATCAGATTATTCTATATTATTCCTTTTTGTATGAGATTCTCCTTGCTTATTGTGATTGCATATTTAAGCAGGGATTAAAAGCTTCAACCTGTGCTCTGTGTCAGTACTAACAAACAATCCAGTGTGAGAATTTGGCAGGCATTTGCATTGATATTTGAGAGACAATAAATTCCCAATCGTGCTTTGCTAGACTGTCAGAAAAAAATATTTTTTCAGCTGGGGAAGAAAAAATATAGAGTATGACTCAAAGACATCCAAGAAATACTTCTTTAATTTAGAAGATGCTATTTTAATTAGTCATTTATCAAAAATCGAAAATGTCTACTTTCTGGATAGTTCCTCAAATCTGACTTGTAGTAGGTCTCTTGTTAAATACATTTTAATTGTTTCATTGAATATTTCCATGAAGTCTTATGCTAATTATTTGTTGCAACCAGTGAGCAAATATTGATCCTCAAAAAAAAAAAAAAAACCACCAAAAAACCAAACCCAAACCAGTGTCTTATTATTTTTATTTTCAAATTCTTTTCTGAAGGAAACAAAAGGAGGCTGAAATTACAAAGAAATTCCGGGATGCTATGGCTCAAGAAAAAGCCAGAATAGTGGCAGAAAAATGGAAAATAGAAATAGAAGATCGGAAAGCTGCCAAATTGGAGGAGGAAAAAATTCAGGAAGAACTGAAGGTTTGCATAGAATAATTTAGATTTCTTTAATAGTGGTTTTATATGGATTCAAAGTTCTTGTCACCTTCAGTGCATGTTTATTAATAAGCTTTTAAACCCAGAGTTGTAATTTTTCATCCTGGAATATACAAATAGCTACGCGGTGTTCACTAGAACAGCTGGGTGAGTGATGCGAAAAAATTACATATCTCATTCAAAAGTGTCAGGACAATCAAACTGGTTATTCAGCTCACACATTAATAGAATTGTTCAGTCAGCTGTGCTGAATGAATCATACTGGGGGAAGAAAATCTACAATTGTGAAATGTCTCATTTTAAGTTAGTTTCCTTGAACATATTCTGTGTATTTTGAATGAGTTGTTCACATATTTAACCTGAAAATTCTGTCACTGCTTTCTTTAAGACAATGAGGGGCGGATCCTTGTCCTACTCAACATATAGGAAAAGTCCAATTGGCTTTGCTGGGAGAAGTTCACTTGCCTGATTTTTATTGACTTCACTAATTTTCTGTGAACTCAGTTATAGTATTTTAATGTTGGTTTGAAACAATATTTTTTCATGTTCTTTTGTAGAAAATAATTTGAAAACTAAACAGGAAAAGGAGGCCTATGTCTACCCTTTTCATATTACTTTATAAAGATAAAACTTGTTTAAATAATGAGAAAAAATATAATTGCTTTAGTGTGCTGAGAAATTATCACAGTCTTCTGAGTCTGGGATGTGCAATCTGGACTGTACAAGGTTGGTGAGGCTGGGTTTCCATGGAGAAAGGCTGTAGCAAAATATGACTCCTGGGAGATCTGCATCCAGTAACTTCTGTCTACACGCCTCCCCCTCACTGGTAGCTTGCTATGTCATTTTTCCTTTCCTGAGATGGTGATTAAGGGTGTGGAAAGTGTGGCTAGACTTCCCCCCTTGTCCCTCTGTGATGGGAGGAATGCTGAAAAATTCAGTGTTAAATGTATGTGGTTGGATTACAAACAAGAGTCAGCAAGTTGTTGTTCTGTAAACTGCGGGCCTGGGGTTTGAGGGTGGTTGTGTCGCACAAAGCAAGGGCGGTTCCTGTAGCCGCCTCTGCACAAAGTTGCTGATTTACCTTTGCACAGTTAATTTGAATTCATAGGAGAGAACAGGGCCTTTGAAATTTGATGTCGATGAGTAATGAAACTATACCTTTCAAGTGCCTTTATTAATGTATGAATAATGAGTAGAGCAGCTAATTAAATGCTCTTTCCTCTGCTTTCTGGAAAGCAAAGCCCTCTTGAACAAAGACCAATACAGACCTGTTCACTTGTATCTCAGTGGTTGATTTACAGTGCACTTGATGGGGTAAATGTCCACAAGCTCACTGTTGTTGTTCTGCTTCAAAGAGACTTTTTCAAAAAGCATAGTGAGCAACTTGTGAGACTTTTAGTGGCCAGCAGTCATATCTTCTACTAAGAAAAACTAGTCTGTCAGTGGTTGATATGATTTAAAAGGAATGGCACCAAATTCTGCTCATTTTCATATTGATGGAAAGGTGATGTCACAGTGATCTGTGTGCCGACTGTTTCTCGGGAAGTGAGGAGGTATTCTCCAACTGTGTGCCTGGCAGGAGCAAGAATTGTACTGCTGTGAGTGGGATGAGAATTTGGTTCAGTTTCTACTTTGAATTTCAAATACTAGCCTTTGGCCAGGATTTCTTTAGCCCTATTCATAAAGTTGCCAACATCTTTATTTTATCAAAGGAACAGAAACCTTGTCTTCCCCTATGGTTTCCTTTATAGCAAGCATTTGAAGAGAATGTTTGCAAAAAATTAAATGAAGGGACCACAATGTTTAAGACAAGACCCAGCTGAAATGAATTGTTTGGCTTCAAAAATGAGTTTGGAAACAAGATATTATTCAGTGATTATTTTTTAAATGCCCCTTTATTGATTGTGCTCCCAGCATTTGCTGTATTAATACAACAACATAGTCTAATTACACTTCCAGCTCCAGATCTTCAATTAGGCCTATAATTTGAGATCTGTTAGGAGGGACTCGGACTAACAAAGGGTTCCACCAGCACAGATCCAAATGCAGGATTGATCCTTGGTACTATAACATCATACCTTTGCTACTCAGAAAAGCAGCTTATCTGTCTTGAAAGAGCAGATCTCGTACATAGTGCTGCAGAACTACTTAAAAACAGTAAAGGCATTTCAGAGATGAGTGAATCTCACAGGCTTATATGGGGGAGTTGTTAACTGCTCTGTCCACTGGCTTATTTAAGCTCACTTGGCTTTCCTTCTCCTTCCAATTTTACTCTCTTTGACTACTATTGTGCAGTGGAAGTAGTACATGAAATATTTACCAACTGAATGAGCAGAAAGGTACCTAGACAGGAAAAGAGGAAAGTTACATTTCTGACATCTACCTCCAACTACAAAAAGTGAATAGAACTAAGGTGTTGGGGGGGAAAAAAAAAAACCCTAATTAACGAATCTACTCATGTATGACTGCAATCACTGAAATCATGAAGAAATGTACCTTTCATGAATGATTCAGGGTGTGGAATGAGATGGAGATCAGTTAGCAAGCCCACTTTAACGGTTTTAAAATATTTAATGCATTGGTAACCATCCTTCTGCGATGATGACCAGACTGTGTTTAAATCTGTCTCTAAACTGGGGTATGAAAAGTTCAGTCTCTGCTAACGCTTCACCCTCTTGAAGCATTTTGACTTGGGAGATTGAAACTCTGTCCTTTCTGCTGATGTGTTTAATTTCTAACCAAATTGTATCACAAACACTCCTTTTTAAAGCACTTTTATTCCTCTTGACCTATCATGGGACTTTAGGGCTGTCTGCACTAGATAAATGGTATCTCACATATCAAAGTGAATGATGAGACCTGTTTCCTTTTCCAACACTATTAGAAAAGTATTGCTTTCCTTGGTGTTTCTTAAGCAGAAATGCCTTTAATTTATGATGCTAGAAGATAAATGTTGACTGCTCTATTTCTGCAGTTAAGGAGAGCTAGTCTTTTATGCACCTATTGCAAAGGACAAATAAGAGAGCCAATTACTATCATTAATCTTTTTGCTAATTCACAAAGGCTATGAGATCATAGGCATAATTTCCTACTGTTATCAGTTGCTGTCATTAAGAGCCTTGAACAATGTGCAGACCTAGGGCAAATTAAAGGTATGAGCATCAGCCAGCCAGGGGAGGGTGGTATCCTTCAGCTACATTTAGAATTTACAGATACTCTCTCAGCTCGTTCTTCATGTGGTCTACATAACACAAGAGAATATAAATAGTAAAGTACTGTCTGTGTGACAACATCAGATACCTGCCAAATTTAATCATATAAGCCCAACTGAAAGTAAAGCTAGATTGCTTTTTAAAAATTCCTTGGAAGATTAAATGTGTGTTAACAAAAAGCTGTATATAACCTTTTATGGGCATTGTTTTTCTTCATGCATCAAAAAATATTTAGTAGGGGTTTTAATGACAGTGGCACTTAGAGAAATAATTCTTATTCCCTTGATAGGCAACAAGAGAGTAACAGTGCATTATAATTTCCTTCCACAATTTTTTTTTTTTTTTTTTGATCTAAGTTCATGACCTTTAATTTCAGTTGGGATTGTGGTGAGTGAAGTGAGCTTTTTTAACGTGTAGATCCAAGAGTTTCTGTGTCCTGGCTGTTTCATTCTCATCAAAGATGACAGGTTTAGAATCAACCTTCAGAGAAGAATAAAATAATCAGTGCTTCAGTTCAGGAAATCTGTAATAAAGACAAATTATACTTAATAGAAAGAACACACTTCAGTCTTATTGACTTAGATGGGCTTTCAACACATGTCTGTGCTTTATTGTGCCCAAAAGTGCTGTGGACCTGATTCTTCAAACAGTTGCTGCCAGGGGTAGAGTGAAGGAATACAGTAAAATGTCAGCATCACCACTGACAGTACTGTAGGCTTCTTATGATACAGCCGTGAGCATTCTGTCCTGATCTGAAAAAACCTCTTGTCTCCACGTTAACATCAAGCACTTGAGTGGGCCTGTTATCTTTAAATGCAAATAAGCTGTAAGTTCAGCTCTCTGCTTTCATGTGCCAAGAAAACACTGAACTCTTTCGCAAGGACAGCGTACTTAGAATCCAGAAATATGACAACAGCTTCTTGCTGGAGTTTAGCACCCAGCTCATTCTGAAAATGTCTCAGTTGAGTCCATCAGTTGCAGTTACAATAACTCAGTAATACTTCATTTTGGTTTCTTTTGTGCAACTACAGTTCAGAAATTCTTTTTTTTATGCAGTTGTGTCTCTAACAATGTTGGAAATCAGGCAGCTGTTAGTTTCTGCTGGAAATCACGTCTTCAGGATTTTTATATTCTATTTGTGAGGAACTGTGATATTAATTTTAAAGAAAAATATTTTCCCCAGTGATAATGATTGTGCTGCTGAAGCTACTGTCTTTATTCTGGATTGTTAGTAAAAACTAGCAAAGCTCTGGTATTTTCTGTGGGTAAATGGGAAAATCTGAGCCACTAATGAGGACACTTGACATAATAGGAATTCAAACTGTGAAGGGTCCCTAAGATCCAGAGACAAACTTGTAGTAGATCTATGAAAGGTGACCCAAGCAGAGTCTGCTCCAGCATGTGCAATAAATCTCAGATCTCTCCCAGTCAGGAATAGTCCTTATCTTTGTTTTCTCTCTCATCTAAAAGAGGGTCTCTGTGAACCAGAATATGTTGTTACCTCCCTATATGAGCCACGCGTGAATAACATATCCATGACTGATACGTAACTTCTACATAAAGCATGACTGCGTTTCACACATTTGTCCGTGTGCAAATACATGCACAGACCATTGAGGTGATGCAAACCCTATGTTCCTTTTGAGACACTGGTAGTAGAGAAGAAAATAATGTCACTGCCAACATTTTCTTTTCTGAGGCAAGTGGGAGAATTTTCTCAGGAAAACGTTGGGAAGAGTTGGACATATTTCTGCTGATACTCACAGCTCTGTTGGAAACTGTCAGGTGGGTTTGTGGAGAACGCTGATCTCTGAATTCAACCTGCTGTGTCAGCCTTGCTGAGAACAGGCTGTCCTGGAGCCGCAGACCCTGGGGTTTCCAGTCCTAAGGGCTCAGATCTGAAGACGAGCCGTGCTCTCAGCTCTGTGGCAGGTAGCCTGAACGTCTGCCCTGGCTCAGGGGTGACTGCTGAGGGGTCTCAGGAGATTCACAGCAGCTGTAATGCAGCCGACTAGCTGCCGCTCTCAGGGCTGCCAAAGATGCTTCCTGCCAGCCTGAAGCATTAGGGAATCCCGGGCATCTTTTGCTACGGAGAGGACTGTTGTAACACTTGTGTCTTGTAGGTTTTGCCCTGAGCAGGGTGGCAGTCCTTCAGCTGCCCTGCATCCTGCAAGATGAGAAATCTCCCCAGAGAGACCCCAAGAGCCATGGCAGCCAGAAGCTCAATTTTCCACTGGGAAAAAAATCAACTGTTGTATTTTGGCTTTCCCTCAGTGCATTTTTTAAATCTTTCTGCAGCAAAAGCTAAATGCTGACCTAATCTCCTCTCATCTGCATTGAACTGAAACATCAGAAGCTAACCATAGCTAATCTTAAATATCATTTAGAGCTGGCTGTAGCAGAGCTATCAAACATCTTGAGGCACACATTTGCCGTAATGAGTAACAAGTTTATGGTAAATGCTCAAATGCCAGAGGCTAGATAAGATCATTTAGCATGTTCAAATTCTCCAGTGGAGTTAAAGCTGGAGAGGATTACTGCTTCTTGTTGAATTGCCAGTGTGATTTGTTGCAACAGGTTAGGTTGGTATTTCTTGGTAATTTGCAACTACATACTGAACTGTCACCCTTCCTGACTACTCTGGAAGAGCTGGAAGGGTCATGGCACATGGTACAATCTCTCTCAACTGTCAGGCAGCAGGTGATGTTTCTGGATTATTATAGCTCTTCACTCTCAGCTCTGATAGGCAGGATTGGGTTCATGGGGAGAAGCAGATAAACTGGTTACTGTATTCTTCCAGTTGGAGTAAATGTGAAAAGTTCAATTGCTGTTCATTTTAAATATAAACATACACTTTTTACTCATGCTTGCAAAAGGATGACTTTTCTATGTCATACTAACAAGTGTTGTTTCTCCTTATGCACACCTTTAAGGAGTCGCACAATATATTTGCACATATATCCATGAGCTAATTTGAATGAATAGAATTTAAAATTTTGCTTCCTTTAAAAATGAAAGTTATATGAAAAAAATTTGTGAATTCAGAATTAAGCAATAAAAAGAAAAGGTAGAATTTTCTTAGTAGACATTACTGCTTTCTGTGAGGAACTCAAACTCTACCTGAATTCTGGGTTTTTTTGTTTTGTGGGTTTTTTTTTTTTTGTTGTTGGGGGTTTTTGAAGACACTTTCATCTTTGTACTACAAATGCTTCAACAATATATTTAAAAAAACCCCCACAAACTTGTGACAAAACTCTTATGTGATTTGGGGAAACTGCTGTGAGATTGATTCCTGCCCTGCCCTCCTCCCTCTTAGGTTTACCTTGTGGTTTGAGATGTTAAATAGAAAACATTTTGATAACCGAGGATTACCCCTGTGTCTGTCCATCTTCCTGAATATATAGCCTAGATGTATTGGATTTTTTTAGATGGTGAAGCTAAGTGAATAAATATTCTCCTCATAAGAATAAAGAATAGTTGATTGCGTACTTCTTCCATGAAGGGAATAAAGCCATTTACTAGCAACTGAAACATGGAATCCCTAATTCTATGGGGTATTTTAAAAAGATATATTTTTAAATTTTTATTCTGAAGAAGCTTCTGGGCTTTGAAATCAGTGCTTCCTAAAAGCATTCACTTTTCATAAATAATGAACTGTCCACTCAACTAATCTTTTTAGGAGTCAGGAGATAACAATGGGAGGATGAGGTTAGAAATAAACAAAGATACTAGCATTAAAATATAAAAAAATGACTGAAGAACAATACTAGTCTTTTCTTTCTCAGAAATAATAAGAGCAGCCTAATTTATTGTTCATCATGTGTGTTATGGAACTATTATTCACTACATGGGTACATCACTATTAATACCCAATATTTCAGGTCTTTGATTTATTGTATTAGCAAGACGACAGATCCTCTGCTGGTGTGAACTGGTGGAGCTCAGCTGTGCTAAATGGAGGAATGTTGATTTATTTTACTTAGGGAAAAGTGGTTGAATTCTTTCAAAGGGTGGAGATTTGCATTGGTTCCCTTTCCCCACTACCTCAGGAAACTGGGAAAATTTATTACAAAACAGGTATGAACTCCTATTTCTGCACTAATCAAGCTCCTGTGTTATTGATGGTATGTGGAAGGCCAGCTGTAGAGGCAATCTTTATCAGATTTCCATCTTGTTTAAGGTCATCTTGTAAGGGAACTTTTTTGTGTGTTCCTTTTAGTTACATTTTGCAAAGTGACTGGTGTGTGCTGCAGGATCTGGCTTTTCTTCCAGCATGTGATGTTCTTGATATTTGGAAAGCATTATTCTCTGTGTTGGTTACGATGACGCATGGTGACAGTTTTTAAACCAAGAACACCAGCAAATCAGTTACTGAATTCTACAGATTCTGTAGATGATGTGTATACTGCTTGAGTGACAGTGATATCTCCAATGGAGAGACATCTACTTCCATGTGGACTTAAAATGAGCACTGCTTATGAATTGTAGGATAGCACAGGCTTTGGTGCCACGTGATAAAACATCTTCTGTATAGATTTCAGGTCTTAGATACTTACGTGTTCCTTGTTCCTGTGATATCTGTGCATCTCAAAACATACCTTCCTAGAAATTCTGAAGAGGTAGGAAACTTCTATTATGCCTGTTGTGATAAGTGAGAAACTCGGGAGTTAGAAGAGACAGTGATTTGTCACAGGTAACGTAGCTACTCTGGGAGGAAGCAACTGAAGCAGCATCCTAACTTTTGGCACATTGTTCCTTTTTAGTCACCTCTGTTTTACTTCATTTCACCTAGAAAAGAGAAGAGGAGGAAAGACAAAAGGGTGAAGAACAGATAAGGCAGCAGGAAGAAATCCGAGCAAAAGAGTTGTATCTGAGCCTCAAGCAAGCTCAGCAGCATAGTCAACACAGCGATGATGACCAGGAGTGGGAAGAACAGTGTGAGTAAAATTACCATCATGGGATTAATATATTTCTAAAAGAAAATAAAAGGATACTTGCAGAATGGGAAAAGGTGTTGCCAAAAAGTTCTTCTACCTAGAGCAATGCAAAATGCTATATTATTTTGCAGGAAATTACCAGCTTGACCTTACAAACAGAAGTTACTGTAAGTTTACCAAATCCACATTTCTTACTGAATAAGAATCCATGTGAATGCCTTATAGAAAATTTTCTGTGTACAGTAGCTGAGATTACTAATTTTTGTCTAATGTAATCAATTAACAGTTTTGATTTAGTAATAATAATTCTGGACAGTTACTTTGACAGCTTGTCCTCGGCTGTCTCTGAAGAGGTAAAATCTGTCTTTATCTGTATTTTAATTACTTCCATATGGTGATGGGGTCAGCACTGAAACTCACTTCATTTCGAAAGATTACAGTAGATAATACTTACATTGTTGCCCTGAAAAAAATCCTTATGATGATGATCTCACTCTATGGAGGTATTGTTCCTGTTTAGCCACCCTGAAATTCTTTATTAATATCATCATTGTGATTAATTTAAAAATACATTAGTGGTTTTTAAAAGCCTATAAGGAACAGAATAAATATATTACTCTCTCTATATATATATACATACATACTATAAGTAAGTCAAGGTCCACGTTATGAGTAAATAAGACTTAATAGATTATTGTGAACAAAATGTATGTCTCCTCCATCTGGAGTCTATCATATAGTTGGCTTTAGAAGTAGGAAACTTGTTTGCAATAAGAATTGTGCATTTTTGTTGGGTGAAGAATATATTTTTTGTTTCCCACATCTATACTGATTTGATTACTCTGCAGAAAAAGGAAATGTAATGACTGGAAAGTTTTAGCTCATGTGGCATTGTTGCATTAATTATATATAACACAAAGGTTAACCAACTAATATTAAAAATGGAGTTCTAGGGAGCTGATATCCGCATGAAATACCTCATGAATTAGGAAAAAATATTGTTGTAGTGTTACTTATTTCCTGACAGAAGTAAAAGAAATGTTTCAAAATATGCAATGAGTTTATCTGATGGTTTTAGTCATCACTTTGGGAGTTCCTGAAGACTAATTACTGAAGTCCTATTACCTGGAATTGATGTGATAGCGAATCATTTTGTACAACATGAATTAAATCTATGTAAGATACACTGGTGCCATTTTCCAAGCTCATAGCAGGCTACGCTCATTTTTGATCAATAAAACCTCTGTATATTACACTGTCAATAAAGAGAAGGTAATTATTTCCTGGAGAATTTTCTAAATCCAGGTGTACATGTTTATTTGGAAAGGAAAACTGTAGCTTTCTGTATTTTGAGTGTTTATGAGCAGAATGAATTGGGGAAAAAATAGCCCTTTAGTTTTGTAGATGAGACATTGTCAATTAGCATCAGCTAGCAACATAGCACAGAGGACGGTATTGCATACTTTAGCGTTTCTTTGACAGGAGATAAGTAAAGAAAATACATTTGCACAACATGTTATTAAAAAAAATAAATAATAATCCAGCCTATCTTTACGCTGAAATTGATAATAAAGCAAAATGCTATAAACATTACTAAAACCAGCTATCATTTTCTTACTAGTGTATTAAAGAGGTAACTGAGGTTTTAAATTGTCTCAGTTTTCTCAAGGAACACTCATACAGGGACAGATATCAGAAATGCAATAGAGGAATTATGGGAGAAGGCAGAGAGGAAAGGAACAAGTTATGAAAGATTTTGACCATGATTTCTGTAATGGCATTATTGGTCTGTCAGACACTTTCGACTGCATCATATGCTGATGGATATAATCTGCCACCCGTATTTTTTCTTGTGTAGCCTTTGGAGTATTCTGTATGCTCTGAAGGAATTCTATCACCTTCGGTCTGTGCACTCCAACACCTGTGGACCTTTCTGCTTCTGGGCAAAAGGGCGACCGACTGTAGCCCACATGATTTCAGGCTCTCTGGCCTTCTCACCGATAGCAGCGCTGCCGTGGTAGAACAAAAGCTCAGCACCTTCTGGCTGGTGGCACCACAGTTGGGTTTTGCAGCCTGTTATAAATTCTGCACTGCCAGTTTATGCTGTTATCGGTAATTGATTTAGCATTAAACTAACTGCAGACTAATGACTAGAGTGTATCACATCCTTGTTTATGCTCTTATGCTTATCTCAGTGTCTCAATTTATCCTGGTTGGTTTGAGGGCTTAGAACTGTGTGCCATTAGCAAATGGGTGTGACAACTTAAGATACAAAGATGCAGTGTTTAGTGCCTTATCTGAAACCAGCTCCTGGCTGGTTTAGACTATGCCATCAGACTTAGTGTTGAGCTTCCTGAGCAATGTTAACATCTTCCTGTTTCCTTAACTTTGCTGCAGAAGCCAGAACCTCCAGCAGACAGGCAATAAGAAATCTCTGAAAGTGGAACATCTGAAATTGCTATGGAATGCACCTCAGGTTCACCAGAGTTTTCACTTTTTCAGTTTCAGATTTTTTTTCTTTTTTATCATAATCCTTTCATTTTGTCTTCAAATATTCCTTTGAGACACTGGGAGGAAATTTAGTGAAGTTAGGCAAAGCTATCCGCTTGTTGTCTTTTCTAAGCAGCTAGGCAATAAATAAATGCATGAATGCGTATGAGAATTACGAGCAGATGTAACGTTAACATCTTTTGTCTCTACACACCTGCAATGGAAACCATATTGCCCCTTAGGAACAAGGCCAGGCTCCTTTGTGTCTTACCTTCTTGAAGTCAGTCCTTCATATTCAACAGTGCTGGGGGGGTCAGTACTGAAGAGGAGCAGCAGTGCTAGAGCCAGCTATTGTGAAGAGCGAATGTAGCAATGATATTGATGACACTACTAATTTATTTAGTAGATGGAATTTAGAATGTGATAAGGATTCATCTCTCCTCATCACATTATCCCTCAGCTGTTTATTGCCAAGGCAATAAGCAAAGTGTTGCTAATATTAGTTTCTGTTGTTCGGTTGTTTGCTTCTGCTGTTTGCCTGATTGTGCCAAATAACAATAAAAGCCCATGGAATGACTGTGTTAATTGAAATACATAATTTTTGTGCTTTTTAATATACTAAATGACACATGTAGAATAACTTGAGAAACCAGTACTAAAAGGAAAAAATGATGTTGTAAGACCAATTATACGCTTTGATTTCATTTAATGGATATATGTTGGGGTACTTTAAAGGGCAGTTATGAGTTAATATGAGGCAAGTATGTTGGTTGGCAAATGAGAAGATGAATAGTGGAAAAGACTGATTCAAAGAGTCTATGGTTCAAAGCTCTTATTCTTTGAAACTGAGAAGTGAGAACTTAAGGCTTACCTTGGATAGAGGAGTGTATATATTCTGATTAGTTTTGGACCTTTCTATGGGCTGTTCCATTTTGTAGGTTTCTAGAGTATTCAATAAACAATATCTTATAGCACAGTCTCTGTCATGTCTCTCCATGAGAGCAGAAATATGCAAAACATAATAGGAAAAACTGTAGCATAAACATTCATCTGATTGAATATTGCAAAAAGGCATTGTTAGTATGCTTACAAACCCCTGCAAACTGCATCAAGCAATGAAGTGCTCAGATAGCATCGACCAGCTGTACTCATCTCCAGACAAAAATCATATCAGTAAAAATGTAAACAGAGTTGAGTGACTTAATCTAGTCTTATGCCTTTCCCTAAGCACCCACTTTTGGTCTCTGTTGGAAGTAAGAAACTGGGCTGACTCATTATAGCTTCTTTTATATTGTTGTCTTTTTATGTTCTTCTATAAACTATGTCTATGAATTTATTTTTGTCTGAATTTTAAAGAAATTTATGTTCATTTGGTACTTATCTTCCACAGAAATTCAAGTGAGTGAGTTTACTGGTAGGAACATTTGATAAAGTGCTGAATTTTAAAGTGAGTAGTCCCCAGTTCAGCTATGCATTAACTAAGCAAGTGCTCAACCTTAAGTATGTGCTCACTGAACTTCGGTAGGTCTCAGAGTGCATTTTTGAATAGGCATGGGTTTATTCACATGCTTTCAGATAAGAAGATTGCTGAACTGGAGTCATATTGCAGAGTATTTGTGGGAAGTTATTTTCCAATTAGGAAACAGAAAAACACCGTGTGATTTGTATGTGAACTCAAAAAAATTGAAGATTGAATTCTATCTATTAAGTAGTCATTTCGAATTGCTCATAAACAAGCTTCCAAGAATTATTAACAAGGGTGTAGAGCTGAAACAAAATAATTTAAAAATGAGAATGCATATTCATGGCACATGGGTTTTTTTCTGCTTTCACATAGCTCCGACTGTAACTCACAGCTTTTCAAAAGCACAAAATAGATTATACAAAATGGAGAGTTCCTAGTCTTCCACAAATGATGTGATCATGTTCAGCTGCAGCACAGCATGAATTAATCCTCATCTGTATCAAAAATTTGGTATTAGAACTTTGCTAGGACCGCTAATAGTGATTTCCCAATCCTAAGTGAAAATATAAAAGGCAATCTTGCATTTTCACTCAAAAGACAACTTAGGTTAGCATAGAGGAATAATAGATTCTTGTCAACTGTTCAAGGTAAACAAGGCAAACTCAGATTAGGACCTACAGGATCATAAGAGCTATTGCATACACAAGCTTTGTGGTTTCTTCTTTGTTTTTAGAGTATGTTCATACTGCAGGTCATGCAGATATGTCCAAGCTGGCTTTAAACTATTTATTTCTAGTAATGATAACCATATAATCAAGATAGCACAGACCTCAGTCTGAATATTTCTACCAGTTTTCCCGGAGGGTTTGGTAACCCATTTTTGGCCTGCTTTACTGTACCTACAATCATATTGGTACCTAACCTACATAAACAGCTCAGGCATTTTGAAGCCAAGTTACAGTGCCATCAGGCAGGGCAGAAGTGTGCCTAATTTTACGAGTGCCGAAGGAGGATGTATGTACCTGTTGTTGGTATCACCAGCACCAGAAGAGAAAACTGGTCGTGGAGACGGACTCATGGAACCTGGCTGAACTGTAGATTTCCTGTGAGCTTGACAAATCAATCAAATTCCTCATTTCCCAGTCTTGTCAGTCTTGACATTATTCCATAATATAACAGGAAGATGAAGAAAATCTAAATTATTATTTGTAGTAATTCTTGATGCTAGATATATGGACCTATGGTGATGACTTGGAGATTTTAATGACGAAAGACATCATTGAGATATCTAATCTCCCTACTGAATATACTGACTATTGAATTTAATGTTTTGCACAAGGATAATGCCAGAAGTACATTTACTGTAAAAGGACAGCCAGTCAAGAAAAGTAATCTGTTCCTGCTTAAGAGAGTACTAGAAGTCCTGACTTCTTTTGCTTTCTTATTGTGAGAAAGGCTACGATGTGTCCTGAAATATAACAAGTAATGCTGAATTTGTCATCTTTGATCTTAGAATATTTGTGCTAGGCTTGATCCAGATATAAAGTTCTTATTTCTAGTGAAATGGTTCAGAGTCAAAGAGAGAAGTAGAAATATTCACTAAATTCTATTGTAAGAAAATCCTGCTACAGAAATACGTCCAGATTTACCTTTAGACTTTGACTTTCTCAAGGTATATAAATTTGTGGGAGATATCAGTAAGAGCGGTCGGTTCGTGTGACACACATCATCTTGTCTGAAGCATAGTTGAAAACTTTGTGTAGATTCCGGACTGCAATGGCTGGATGAATCTTTACCCAACAATAATATTTCTGGTCACCTAAACCAGTTATTGATGGCAGTGACTTTGATTATTTACCTGACACAAATCCCTTGACCAGTCAGGGAGTTTAAAAGAAACTTGGGATAACATAACACAGATCCACAGTAGGAGCGGTACTAGACAACTCCTAAAGATAGAGGCCTCTGTGAGGAAAGAGAGAGAGGTTTCTGGAAATACCTAGAAGGAATGGGATAGGGAGAAAATCAGGATGCCAAGAATGAAAAAAAAAAAAAAAATGGGTTAAGAGACCCTATGCATCCCTATGATCAATTATATGATTTTTCAGATGCCTCGTTTGGGAAATTTCCATAAAAATTCTTCATAAGGTAAAATACATGCCTATATATGTGTGTATATATATAAAGTCTATATGCATGCATTTAGATATCTATGGCATGCAGCCTTCCCTATCCTGACATATATACAGACACATATATGGGTATATACTTATATGCAAACACATATGTATATATATGTATGGATAGAGAAGGCTGCATATTATACATACTTTAAGTTTTGTAGATGTTGGTATTTGACAGCTGCAAGCTATGCTACCTCCCCCCATTGTTTTGTGATGAGAAATATTAAAATTTGATACTGTTTGGGAAAATATAGTCCAGGTCAGTAGGTTCTGATGGTATAGACTTATTAACTAGCAAAAATACAGTAGGAATGTCTGTTGAAAAGAGTATCTATTGCTGAGGAAAGCGGGGCATAAAGACACCTCTCCTTTTTCATTGCCAAGCAGCCTGTACATCAGCAGAAAAGAGTTTCAGAAAGTTCCAAGCATTCTGCCATCGATATGTATACTGTGATTGTGACAATGACTGCTTTCTAAATGTCTCATCAAACTGCATTGCACTCATCTTCCTTGCTCTGTCTCATGTTGTTGCAAACACAAAGTCCACGTTTAAGCAGCCATTACTGAGTGGCTTTACAAAGGATAAATCACAGAATTTTTGTGACTAATATAATTGAGCCATTAAAGTAGCATATTTAGATGATGGTATCTACCCTTAAAAATAATAACCTGTAAGATAAATAGTGAAGCCCGTTACTTGTGTCTTCTGTGCTGTACAGTTGTTTGTTACTGTGGTTATCTAAAACTACAGGATATGTAGTTAAGTGAAACAGAAATCCTGCCAGTTGTCTACATATGAAGCATCTGTAACTCCTTATGCTATCTTGATGAGCTTTTTGTCCTGTATACCTTTGTACGTATGATAGTATTATATAATTCTAAGTT